CCAAAGGGAAAAATCCGAGAAGCAACAGAAGAATCCATGGTATAATAGGGCATGTATGGAAGCGAAGAAACTGAACAAAAAGGCGTGGAGGAACTTCCGGAATAACAGAACACCAGAAAGCAGAGAGAGATACCAGAGAACCAGGAATGAGTACGTCAGGGTGAGAAGAGAAGCAGAGAAAATTTTTGAAAATGATACAGCAAACAAAGCCAAGACCGAACCAAAGCTACTCGACAGTCACATCAGAAGGAAAACAACAGTGAAAGAACAGGTATTGAAACTTAGAACAGGCGAGGACAGGTATACAGAGAATGACAGAGTGTGTGAGGAACTCAACAAGAGGTTCCAGGAGGTCTTCACAATAGAACAGGGTGAGGTCACTGTGCTAGGAGAAAGGGAGGTAAACCAGGCAGTTGGAGGAGTTCGAAATTACGAGAGAGGAGGTCAAGAGACACCTGCTGGATCTGGATGTTAGAAAGGCTGTTGGTCCAGATGGGATCTCACATGGGTACTGAAAGAGTGTGCAGAGGCACTTTGCTTGCCACACTCCATAGTGTATAGTAAGTCACTAGAGACGGGAGACCTACCAGAAATATGGAAGACGGCGAATGTGGTCCCAATATACAAAAAGGGCGACAGACAAGAGGCACTGAACTACAGGCCAGTGTCCTTGACTTGTATACCATGCAAGGTGATGGAGAAGATCGTGAGAAAAAAACCTGGTAACACATCTGGAGAGAAGGGACTTCGTGACAAATCGCCAACATGGATTCAGGGAGGGTAAATCTTGCCTTACAGGCTTGATAGAATTCTACGATCAGGTGACACAGATTAAGCAAGAAAGAGAGGGCTGGGCGGACTGCATTTTCTTGGATTGTCGGAAAGCCTTTGACACAGTACCGCATAAGAGGCTGGTACATAAGCTGGAGAGACAGGCAGGTGTAGCTGGTAAGGTGCTCCAGTGGATAAGGGAGTATCTAAGCAATAGGAAGCAGAGAGTTACGGTGAGGGGTGAGACCTCCGATTGGCGTGAAGTCACCAGTGGAGTCCCACAGGGCTCTGTACTCGGTCCTATCTTGTTTCTGATATATGTAAATGATCTCCGGAGGGTATCGATTCATTTCTCTCAATGTTTGCGGACGATGCTAAAATTATGAGAAGGATTAAAACAGAAGAGGACTGTTTGAGGCTTCAAGAAGACCTAGACAAGCTGAAGGAATGGTCGAACAAATGGTTGTTAGAGTTTAACCCAACCAAATGTAATGTAATGAAGATAGGTGTAGGGAGCAGGAGGCCAGATACAAGGTATCATCTGGGAGAGGAAATTCTTCAGGAGTCAGAGAAGGAAAAAAGACTTGGGGGTTGATATCACGCCAGACCTGTCTCCTGCAGCACATATCAAGCGGATAACATCAGCGGCATATGCCAGGCTGGCCAACATACGAACGGCATTCAGAAACTTGTGTAAAGAATCATTCAGAACTTTGTATACCACATATGTCAGGCCAATCCTGGAGTATGCAGCCCCAGCATGGAGTCCATATCTAGTCAAGGATAAGACTAAACTGGAAAAGGTTCAAAGGTTTGCCACCAGACTAGTACCCGAGCTGAGAGGTATGAGCTACGAGGAGAGACTACGGGAATTAAACCTCACTTCGCTGGAAGACAGAAGAGTTAGGGGGGACATGATCACCACATTCAAGATTCTGAAGGGGATTGATAGGGTAGATAGGGTAGATAAAGACAGTCTATTTAACACAAGGGGGAACACGCACAAGGGGACACAGGTGGAAAACTGAGTGCCCAAATGAGCCACAGAGATATTAGAAAGAACTTTTTTAGTGTCAGAGTGGTTGACAAATGGAATGCATTAGGGGGTGATGTGGTGGAGGCTGACTCCATACACAGTTTCAAGTGTAGATATGACAGAGCCCGATAGGCTCAGGAATCTGTACACCTGTTGATTGACGGTTGAGAGGCGGCACATCTGGTTCCCCAGACCCCATCGCCACATCTGGTTCCCCAGACCCCATCGCCACATCTGGTTCCCCAGACCCCATCGCCACATCTGGTTCCCCAGACCCCATCGCCACATCTGGTTCCCCAGACCCCATCGCCACATCTGGTTCTCCAGACCCCATCGCCACATCTGGTTCTCCAGACCCCATCGCCACATCTGGTTCTCCAGACCCCATCGCCACATTTGGTTCTCCAGACCCCATCGCCACATTTGGTTCTCCAGACCCCATCGCCACATTTGGTTCTCCAGACCCCATCGCCACATTTGGTTCTCCAGACCCCATCACCACATTTGGTTCTCCAGACCCCATCACCACATTTGGTTCTCCAGACCCCATCACCACATTTGGTTCTCCAGATCCCATCACCACATTTGGTTCTCCAGACCCCATCACCACATTTGGTTCTCCAGACCCCATCACCACTACCGGATCTCCAGACCCCATCACCACTACCGGATCTCCAGACCCCATCACCACTACCGGATCTCCAGACCCCCATCACCACATTTGGTTCTCCAGACCCCATCACCACATTTGGTTCTCCAGACCCCATCACCACATTTGGTTCTCCAGACCCCATCACCACATTTGGTTCTCCAGACCCCATCACCACTACCGGATCTCCAGACCCCATCACCACATTTGGTTCTCCAGACCCCATCACCACTACCGGATCTCCAGACCCCATCACCAGAACAACGGGAGCTACATACTCCACCACCATGGTGGTATTGGTAGCCGGTGGCTGAGCGGACAGAACACTGCACGCGTGATCCTGTGTTCCCGGATTCGATCCCGGGCGCCGGCGAGAAACAATGGGCAGATTTTTTTCACCCTGATGCGCTTGTTACTTAGCAGTAAATAGGTACCTGGGAGTTAGTCAGCTGTCACGGGCTGCTTCCTGGGGGTGGAGGCCTGGTCGAGGACCGGGCCGCGGGAACACTAAGCCCCGAAATCATCAAGATAACCTCATGATAACGTCCAGGACAGTGGGATGGCTGGGGGCCACAAGAAAATAGTTCAACGTAATCGCCCGCCCATTGCACCCATTAACCACACTGCGGACAATGAAGGCAAGAGTGAGAGTTTTCACTCTGATAAGGGCCAAAAAATATTCAGGCCCCAAACTATATCAGTAGTAGTGCTCCCGCGCAACTGGACACCCTGCTCAAGGCCAATGCTTAAGGCCTTGGTCACGAATATGGTCGTAAGTTTGCTGTTGAAACACGGTATCAAGCAAACAATAGAGACTCGAAAAACAGTTGAGCACAAGCTCAAGAAATTCGAAAACACAATATCCTCACCTTCAAGAACGCAGGACAGGTAACACTCCTGAAAACAGGTCGAGTTCAACACTTCTGAAAGCGACCTTGATGAGTCAGTTCAAGTACACGAAGATCTTCACCTCCAATTTTAAATTCCATGGATACAACGGTAATATCAGCAAATGCCAACAACCTAGAGGATTAAAGATCCTGCAATGGAATGCGCAAGAGCTGCACACCAAATTGCAGCACTTGCAATTCATAGCAGCAACCAAATGCATAGACATCCAGATACTACAGGAGAGCTTGCATCAAGACTGTTTAGAATCTATAATCACAGGCTATCTAGGTTTCTTCCTTCCATGGGTCAACGGGCAATCCAGGGGATGTGCCATCTATGTGAAATGTGACGTGATCGTTAAGCCCATAACCAGCTCACCCGACTGCGGGCCAGGGACAGAGGTGATGGGAGTATCCATTGAGCTATGACATGACAAACTTGAAGTGTTTAATATTTACAGATCTCTACGTGCTGAAATGGATCTCTTATTTAGACACGCGACCACCTCAAACAATTTGTTGCGATTTCAATGCCCATCATCAGTTGGCACTGGTCTCTAACAACAAATGAGGCCAGCACTAACATAGCAAATAAACTAGAGCAGCTACTAGAAATTCAAATCTTATACAAGAATGAACCCACCCACATCCAAGGAAGTAGATTAGACCTTTCTTAGGGAGGCTGGAACGAAGGTAAGTAGCAACATGGTCATTTGAGCCCCACACTCACAGGCGACCATTATTGGGTCCAAATTGATCTAAAGTTGCATCTACTTACCCCTCCTCCACCAGATGACTGGAAGTTTGCGTTTTTGCAAAATGGGACCGATTTAAAAACCTTCTTGTAGAGTGGCATAGAAACTACGATGTTCCCTAAGACATTAATCAGGATGAACAAGAATTAGTCAGAGCGATTCATAGTGCAGCCAAACACTCATTTCCACTGAAAAAGTCGTCCACCAGACAACAGAAAGATCACTGGTACTATTGCGACAGTGTCAGTATCAAAGAACTTGTTACGTACTGGTACGCATAGCTCGTTGCTCTACAGGGGTTAGTAAGGGCTCGTTCTAGGAGTATTCAAATTACCCCCTGTCTCTTAATGTCCAACCAGAATGTCACATCACTACGTACATACTTAATAAGCAAAAAATTTCCCTATGGATGCAAATATCCCACAGGTAAATAAAAGGTTTATATAAAATAAAAATATATGTATAAATCAAGGCTACTATTCCTTCAGGTATATCAGTAATCAGAGGCCTACAAAAATATTTATAATATAAATTCTCACCAGACTAATTGTTACTAAAGCAAAAACAAACACAAAAACAGACTTATGAGAGCAGTTGACCCGACGCTGTCTCCCAGTTACTGACTAACGTGGCGTCACGACGCCTCACATTCCCTCCCTCACAACATAACCAATGGTAAATTTATATAAAATTATCTTGCTTAATGAGCAACAATACTTTGCAAAAACCAACATTAAAATAACTTAATTATGAATGATTAAATTTATATGCATAAACAGAGGTAATGTAGTTAATAATAATCAATTATTTATGGAAAATAATGAAGAGGAAACTGCTGGCAACTACACAATACAAGCTTCCTGTACTCTAGCAGGAAGTCGACTCTAGTATCACAGGTCTAATACCTGACTAGTAATCCCCGCTCCTGTCCCCACTCTTGCCAACTCACACGATATATTATAAAAATATGTAAACATATGTTTTATTCTAGCATGAAGGTATGTATAATTATATAGTTATTTAAGGAATATTCACATTTATATAAGAATATGTAACAGAACTCAGACTCAACAGCACAAGGAAGCTATACAAAAAGCAACAAGTGACCCCAACAAGAGCTTATGTTGTGAAGTCAAGGAACGTGCATCAAGAGACCTGGATAATCTGGAACAAAAGTGGCTGGAATGGTGTTCACATATGAATGAAAGCACCTCTCCGAGAGATGTAGCAGCAAATCCAGTGTCAAAGTAAATAATGCACCTAAAGCCCCACACCCTAAGGAACAAGAGGCCGAAGTACTAACAACCAAATTTGCAGAAAAAGGAGCCAGTAACCAGCTTCCTCCAGATGTACTAGCAGTGCAGACAGGATTAGAGGACGATAGGTGGCACAGAATCCTTACAGCATGGTCAGAAGTCTCTGATATTAATAGGCCCCCTTTCACTCTGGATGAGCTCAATCGGGCTAAGAAAAACTCCAAAGATACATCCCCGGGAGACGAAATAACCTATAAAAATATTAGAAACATCGGCCAAGAGGGAGACGCTGCATGCCTTAGTTTAATTATTTTAGCCTGGACTTCTCAAACTAGACCTACAGCATGGAATAGGGCAGACATGGTGCCGCTCCCAATACTCAAAGGTCCAGATAATCCAAGGCCCATCTCTCTCCAAAGCTGTGCAGTCAAGACAGCTGACAGAATGGCACTCAACAGACCTGAATGGAAAATGCCTGAACATCACGAGGACAAATATGCCTATAGAATAGTTGGCGGCACAGTGGAATGTATTTCAACTTTTTGCCCACTAGAATGACAGACCTAGAATGCTTATATTCCTGGACCTCGAGAAAGCCTTTGAACTGGTTAGCGCCCCAGCTATTCTCTGCTGCCTCATCGACAAAAAGGTCAAAGGCAACCTGCTCTCCTGGACTAAAATCTGTCTCAGAGAAGAGTGAAACTTCATGACACAGTCTCTGAATACAAATGACATATACGCTAACCTCCCTCTCTGGAGGAGCCAATCTGCATGTCCTTCGCACATGCTATGTACAGACAGTCAGATCAGTGATCGACTATGCCGCACATGCACTCAAGCCAATCACAATAACAGTGGAAAAGTTTGAAGTAGCCCAAACCTACTATAAAAGCTGCCCTAAGAGCCCCCATGTGGACCAGGCATGTAACTAAGACTGGAAATTAGTTTGCCCTTTCTTCAAGAAAGAATCTCAAAGAACAGCTACGATTTTCCGTAGATAATTATTTCCCCAGATCCTGCCCTAGTAAGAAAGACCTTGGTGTTGGTAAGAAATTCCTTGGCCAAAACAATGGAATCTCTAGGGCTGCCAGAGTGGGGAAAGTCCTAAACAAACTACAATTAAAAATCATGATACTTTATAGAAGAAGTGATCAAGAGAGAAATTATTTACGCATCCAAACTACACTTGTTCCCCACCGTGGGAGGAGCCTACCTTCAAGATAGTAATAGACCGTCTTCCGATGAAAGATGCTGCCTATACTCCAACAATCCTAAGGCGCATCATAGATAAACAAATGAGCATCACAGAAAAGCAAATGAGTAGCATTGCAGTAGCAGGATCCACTCACATCTTTACAGACGGACCGGTTGACACACAATATGAGAGTGCTGGCGCTGCTTTTTGCACCGACAGTAAACAGGCTTATTGGAGACTGGGAGGACCAGTATCAACCCAAACTGAGCTGTTTGCCATACAAAAGGCATTCACCTATGTGATTGCACGAAACTCAAAATGCAAACAGACTCAAAAGCTACAATTCAGGTATTAGGAAAACTGCATTGGAAAGACAACTTGGAAATAATTACCACCATTTTGTGTCTTGGAGCAGTAGCTAAAGGCAAAAGACACAACATAGCCCTAAACTGGATCCCATCCCATGTTGAAATCCCTTTAAATGAGAAAGCGATGATATTTCTAAAGGGACAACTCGTCATTCAGTGATACATAAAACACTCCAACCTAGCCTAGAGTACATAAAACACTCCAACCTAGCCTAGAGTACATAAAACACACCATCACCAAAATCACTCGCCTCAACACAGCCCATTTACTCCAGTGTTCCAGAAAGTTCACCTACTGCAATATGGTGTCTTCAGGCCACTTAGCTAGAAAGGTTAAATACCCCCAAAAAGAATCCCACGGGGAAATAGCAGTTAGGTTATATAGACTACGTCCAGGTTACAGATACAACTGGGAGATTGGTGAACCCAGACAGAGGGAATGCATCTTTTGCCAATCACAGAAAAGCCACAAATTCACTATCTCCAGAAATGTAAAGCAACCAATGACCTTGTTACGG